GGTGCGGAGTGGGATGGTCAGTGGGCCAGGAGCGGAGTGGGATGGTCAGTGGACCCGGTGCGGAGTAGGATGGTCAGTGGACCCGGTGCGGAGTGGCGATGATCAGAGGGCCTGGAGCAGGGACAGTCAGTGGGCCTGGTGCAGAGCAGAGTAACCGACGGGCTGGGGAGTTGAAACGGGGAGGCTATAGAAGGACTCTAATGTTTATCTTTAACTTTATAACATGAATTAGAAAGTTAAAGAAATAAAGAACTGTAATGTAGAATTCTTAGCTTGTTTTCTTTATTTCTCTGTTTTTGTACCTAAGATTTGTAACTAGGTACTTTGTACCTAAGATGGCGCTGTGTATTTGCAATATTGTACACTTTTCACTGTACTTCTGGACTTGAGTACACGTGACAATAAAACTTAATTCTAATTCTAATATACTTTAGTCAGTTACTAGGGTGACAGAGTCCCTCTTTGTTGAGGTGCCCTTCATCTGCACTATAGCTTGACATAACTTTCTAAGCCTTATCTGTCCTTTTTTTTGTGATGCTAAGCTTTCACCTAGTCTGTAATTTGAAATCAAAGCACCGGTATTTAAATGGGATTAAATTTTCACATGTAAATAAATCACGCTTTAAGGCTACTTCTGTATAATGTTGCAGATTAAGAGATTTATGCTTGCGGAGGGCTAAGGACGAAAATTAAAGGGCATTGCCATTAGGGTAACATTTAATAGCCAACAATACCTTGGTACAAAGATATTCCTTAGCCATGTTGGTCACAAAAGTGAGATAAACTACAATGTAGGTGTATGTTGGAACTGGAGAGCAGAAAATGCACAAAACATTCCCAATCCAAGAGCCGCATGAGTTTGATCCGCTTTCTTCCAACATGCATTGTCCCCCCAACCTCCGAGTTCCTGACAGCTTGACGCAATATTCCCAAATCTTATATCAATCATTGCTGAGGAATGAAATGACAATTCAAATTTTAACACCCAGTTATGAGCCATTTTGTTCAGGATTTCATACCCAAGAGGAAATTAGATTGAGAGTAACAAGATACAAAATAGTAAAGAGCAGTCACAATAGATTGTAAGGACTTTTTTTTAATAGAATTCCTGCAGTGTTGGAACAGGCCATTTGATCCACACCAACTCTCTGAAGAGCATCCCAGCCAAACCCAACCCCCCTGTCCCTATCTCTGCAACCTTGCATTTTCCATGGCTAACCCACACATCCCTGGTCACCATGGGCAATTTAGCATGGCCAATCCACCCTAACCTGCACATCTTTGGACTGTGGGAGGAAACCCACGCAGACACGGGGAGAATGTGTGAACGCCACACAGACGGTCGCCCGAGGCTGGAATTGAACCCGGGTCCCTGGGACTGTGAGGCAGCAGTGTTAACCACTGAGCCACCGTGCCATGACTTGACCATACTAAGTGTGCAATTGTCAGAAATACAGTTTGCCCAAGTCATCTTGGCACACAGTCTCTCCACGAAGCCACTTGCTATGTTGCTATTATCTTTTAATTCCTAAATGACTGATGAATATGTGTGGGATTATATTTTCTCCAAGTGCAGAGACACAGTTTCTGCTGATACTAGTTGCCTAGTAGCAATTTGAGGCTTTTGAAAAGGGGAGCAGTGACAGCATGCAGGTAGCTACAGAACAACATCACTGCGATATACTGTGTCACTGCTGGTTTAAACATCCTTGGTAGGAAAAAAAATGTTTGAAGTTGCTAGGCAGAATATCCGCAGAGTTGAATTAATGGGTGCCATGCTTAATGTACGCTAATCAGGTGGGAAATGAGAAGCATGGCCAATTACAGATTCAAACTGAATCAAATAAATAATTTTAAAAAAATAAGACTTTTAACCTTTCGGCATTTTTAAAATGTCCTGCAGATTCTGAGCATTTCTTACACTTGCCAGTCAACCAGCAGCAAGATTTTTGCAAAGTATTTACAAGGACACCATTCAGCTCAACACATTCATGCTCCGTATTTTATCTCATCAGTGTCATCAAAGTAAGCTCCCTGTTGCTTTCTTCCTCATGTGTCCAACTATGTTCCACTGAAGCTGTGTCCTTGTGTTTCACAATCCAACCACTCTCTGAGTAAACATCATTACTCCCAAATTCTCCTTTGGATTCAACAGTGACTATCTTTAAAGAAAGACTAGCATTTGCATAGCTCCTGTAATGACCACGGAGGAGGTCCGATGTTGCTTTGCAGTTAATTAAGTATTTTTGAAGTGCCGTCGCTGTTATATTGTGGGAAACACGAGAGCCAATTTGCACACAGCAAGCTCTCTCAAACAGCAATATGATAATGACAAGATAATCTGTTTTTCCAATGCTGACAGAGAGTTAAATATTGGTCAAGCGACTGGAGAGAATGGCCCTGGACACCTGTATGTTAACCTGAGAGCGCAGGTGGGACCAATGCAGTGTTCTTTCACTACTGCACAGTCAGGATCATTCAGCAAATGGTAGTCAATTGCACATTCCCACCTATGTTGGATACTGTTATGAGTTTTGCATTGTATTATGCTGACAATCATGTGAGGATTGTCAAGAAGGCTTGCAGTGTGGCGCATTCAGAATATTGCAAACTACATACATGAACACACACAGCCCTGTTTGTTGCAGACAGAATGTACATATACACGCACTGCACCTGTTTCAACTCAACAAAATTTGCTGGTTCATTTCCCAGGGCAATGCCTTAACCCATCTGAGTTAACCTGGTTTAAACTTTGGACAAACTCCAGCAGTCGATTATCCCTTGGCCCTCAAGCAGCATAAATGCTGGTGTTCCTGTTAAATTGGTATTCTTGCAAATTGCCCTGGTGAATGCAAGACAAAAAGCTTTGGCAAAGTGTCTCTTTCTCAGCAATACTGAAGTTCTGTATTACCATATAACCAAGCAGGGTTTAATATGCTTGAGGTTCTGCCTATTGATAGAAAACAAAAAGTACTTTGCAACGATACAAGTCTGGCAGTGTATATACACATGCGCACACACTTTCTCTCTCTCTCTCTCTCAGCTCCTGCCAACAGTTCTGTTCCCTGAGATTGGAGTTATTGAGTTAGGGCCGTTTTCTTTTTCTTTTTAGCAAAACTCGCATTGTTCCTTGTACCTCTGCCCCCACCTTCACACCATTTTCAAAACATACCTTTAGATTTAAGCCCACTGCTTTCATCATCAGAGTCACTGTTAGATTCAAAGAGATCCTTGAACTCTTTCTTGTCTTTCTCTTTGCTCTCCTGCATCTTCCTGCGTTTGATCTCGGGGAAATTCAGGTCTTCCAGCTGGCGAGGGAAAGAGGCAAGAACATGAAATATGAAATAAGCATTTACTACAAAGTCTGCTTTACGTGCACTGACTTAAAACACCGAAAGCAGGGTCTCATCAAAAGATATTTCCCTATCTGCATACAGGCATTACTGCCCAGCGATATGCAAAGGTGTTCTTAAAAGGGACACTTCATTAAGACTCATTATTGCTTCGGATGCTTGGTGTCACCAATGGACTGCTCACAACATGATTTACAGTTCTTTCTAAACATTGTGGAAGCATGATAAGGACATGATGAAACTGATACTTTAGGAGGGCTGACCGACACTGCATCCTCTCTGGCACCAAACAGATAGAAGTGCACCAGAGACACTTAAAAAAAAAATTCCCCTACCACCTGAAAGAATCAAGTAATGTGTTAAGTTCTCAGGAGGCCGACAATGGAAACAAACACAACCTATTGTCCTTCTAGACTCAATTCTACTCCCTTTAAAGCATTCACCAATTTGCAGACTGTATATTCCAATGACTACTTCTTTTAAAAAAACAGTGAACTTCATGGCTGAAGTTTGCTTGGAAAAATTCACCAAGCTTAACTTACATGAGACATCTAAAACAACAACCTTCTGAAACAAAAACAAAGTTGCTGGAAAAGCTCAGCAGGTCTGGCAGCATCTGTGGAGGAGAAAACAGAGTTAACGTTTCGGGTCCGGTGACCCTTCCTCAGAACTGATGGCGGCTGGGAAAACGTCAGTTTATATGCAGAAAATAGGGAGGTGGGTGGAGTAGGGAGTAAACGATAGGATAGAGCCCGAAGAGAGAGAAAGACAGTTGGACAGACAAAGGAGTTGCTAACGATCAGGCTGGGAGGGTGAATAGTTGTTAATGGGGACTGTTAGTGACTAAGAACCTTCTGAAATACTGATGCTGATAAATTAAAGGCCCGCACAGTTAGGACTTCAAAACCAAGGAGGCTAACGCCATTCACTCTTTGAAATAAAACAGAATAAAGTATTGAAGTCTGACTTTGCTCTTCTCCTATTTGTTTCCTAAAGGTGCTGTTGGCGGCTCCGATCTCATTAAATACTCAATAAGAACAAGATTGTTTTTAATATGACAGACCCTCTCAAGGAGCGGAGTCGGACTTATCCACCCTTGTGAGAAGACATGTATAATTTCTTAAGATTTAACCTACTTTCTAATCAATCAATCTGTGCGGAGATGTCACTACATGCCTCATGACAGGTGGGATTTCAACCCGGGCCTCCTGGTCCAGGGGTAGGGACACTATCACTGTACCACAACAGGCCAAGACAGGTATGCGTCCAATCCACAATTAGAGCCATTCATAACAGCCGACATGGCTGTTTGGGCTCATGTTAAAACCCCAACCGCAAGTCTGTGGGATTCATGTACCTATTGGACAGCTTCCACTGAAATACAGGACTACAGCACAGGAGGAGGCTATTTGGCCCATCATGTCTGTACTGATTCAGTAAATGACCTGCTGCCCATCTCCTGCCTCTCAACACCGCAATACCTATTTTCTCCCATCCTTTCGATAAACTGGAAAGCGGATTTTAAATACTTCCCATTTATTTAGGTTTTAGAGCTTGGCACAGAAACTGAATGTTGTTATACTGGATCTAGACTGATGTTGTTGTGGTGCAGGTTTAATGTAGTGCAGCCTTTGTTTTAAAGAAGCAATATTCTCCATTCACAGCTGAAAGCCTCGGTTGGGTCATTCTATCGGCACTGATCCCAAGTGGCTTCAGGAGTGAGCTGGGGATGTTAAGTATGCAACAATTCAAACAGAAGGAAGCACGACTGTCCAAACTGACCCTGTTTGTGTTAACAAGCCACAACGAGAGGCAAAGTGCGAGAAACTGGACCACTTCCTCTGCCCCAACCTCTCAGTAACTAACGAGTCCTGTCGTTAGCTTCAAGGAGAGGGGGTGACACATGGAATCCTGCTGGACTCTGTGACAAAGACCCCTCACAGTACAGTTGAGTGCTGGTTTCTGCAATAACACCCAGAGCTGGGCACTGAACATCTGCCCGAATGAGCTGCTGCAGAGGGCACGTGAACTTTGGGAGAATGTGACAAAAGTCTTACTTACTGGATCAGATTTGTCCATGGCACATTTGTATTTATTGGAATGAGGTCAGCCAGTGGATCTCATTGACTATGAGATCCCTGATTGGGATTGTTAACCCAGGTCAATCAGGGAGCCCTGGTTGACAAATATAAACAGGAGATTCAGACAGTCTCCTCAGTCTAGAGACGGGCTCTGAGCTGGCTGGTCAGAGCCCTTGTACTGTGCAAGAGTAAATAAAGGGTGACAGGATACCGGCCTCTGTGGAGATATTTCAATGTTCTCTGTTGGACTTCCCAATTTCAGGAATTCGGGGACTTATACAAGTTCGTAATCCTTTCAGAACTGCCCAAAATCACACTCACTCTGAAACTCTCAAATCCTTTTTTCGAGATAAGTTCTGAAGTTGAGTCCAGCAGGGCGGCAATAAAGAAAGTTTCTCAAGACGTTTGTACATACCCTCTCCTTGCCAGTGATCTCCAGTGCAATCTCCTTCTCTCTCAGTTTCTTCCAGCTGCTGTAGTACTTGTGCAGTGGTGTACCCTCGTCTTTCAGCGTTTTCTCCCACATAGCCTGGTGCACACATAAACAAAGAACCTCGTTACAGCAAAGACAAAACCTGCAACACAAGCCGTTAAAACCTGCTAAGGCGATCATTGGTGAAATCTAAACAAAATAATCGATCAATAGCCATTTACCACAAAAGGAGGGAAAGAAAGAGCCCTCACAGGCCCCACATGCTATTATTCACATGTCGTATTGTGGGACCTTAGGAGGTCACAAAGCATTTTGCAACTAATGAAGTTTGCAAACATGGGGAGAAAGCTACTAGGTAATGAAACTCATAGTACAAGGTGGTGCAGGCACGACGGGCTGAATGGCCTCCACCTTGTGCTACAACACAGTGAAGTACTTTTGATCTCGTCATTGTTGGAATGTGGGCAAACACAGTAGCCGATTTACACACAGCAGGTTGCCTCAAATAGCACGTGATTAACTACTATTGCATCTGAAATAAAAACAGAAACCGCTGGGAACAGTCAGCAGGTTAGGCAGTGCCTGTGGAGAAAGAAACTCCAGCGGATACTGGTGTAGCCTCTCCTCAGAAGACAATCCACTCATTCCAGGTATTAGTCTAGTAAACCTTCTCTGAACTGCTTCCAACACAATAACAGTACTCTGTAAGTATGATGACCAGTACTGTGCACGATACTCCAGATGCAGTCTCACCAATGCCCAAAGTGCACCAAAGTGAAACATTACCTCCCTTCCTTTACACTCAATTCCCGTCAGCTTTCCTATCAGCTTTCCTGATTACTTGTTGTACCTGCATACTAACTTTCTGTCATACATGCGTAAGGACATTCAGATCTCTGTCCACCCCAGAGCCTTGCAATCTTGCAGCAGTTAGATAAAATGCTTCTACTTTATTCCTTCTGCCAAAATTGACAATTTCAGTTCCTTACATTGTACTCCGTTTGCCAAATTTTTGTCCATTCACTGAACCTATCTACATCCCAGTGTAGGCTCCCCATGTCCTCTTCACAACTCACTTTCCAATCCAGCTTTGCTTCATCACGATAGAGGCATGGGATCTGATCCAGAAACCCGGGAGGGCAGAGGGGGCCTCACCTTAACATCTCCAGTGAAGATGGCATCTTCGACAGAGCAGCAGTCTCTAAGTACAGCAAAGAAACTCAGGTCTCTGGAGAGGCCCAAACACACACACACACACACACACACACACACGTGCGTGCACGCACACTCATGCAAACACACAAACTATTTTAAACAAAAACTTTACCTTTTCAAACATTTGGCTGCCAATTTGAGGTCAAATGAACATCAACCATCTAATTGTTGTTTTTGTACACTTGACCTGCTTTTGATGCTTTCAATAGAGATTCATTTAATCAATAATACAGATCACATTTGAATCCTGTTCAACAAATTGCACAGGACTCAAAGTATTTCACACACAAACATCTTAGGTTTCCAGATATTTGCTTGTATGTCAGTAAAGTGTCAACTCAATTATGAATAAAACATAAATCTATACACTGTCCATTCTTTTAAGATTTCAGTTCGTACGCTGCAAAGCCAGAGCAAACTTGATGTTTACATCAAACTGCTCAGTTATCAGGAGTTACAAAACTTTCATCCCATCAAAATAACAGTTATCAGAAACAATTTTTTTTCATTCAAAATTCAACATGTTTTAAATTCATTCATAGGCTGAGAGCATCGCTGGCTAGGTCAGCATTTATTGCCCATCCCAGAGGGCAGTTAAGAGTCAACCACATTGCTGTCGGTCTGGAGACACATGTAGGCCAGATCAGGTAAGGATGGCAGTTTCCCTCCCTAAAGGACATTTGTGAACCAGATGGGTTTTTCCAACAATCGACAATGGATTCACGGTCGTCATTAGACTCTGAATTCAAGATTTTTATTGAATTCAAATTCTACCATCTGCTGTGGCGAGATTCAAACCTGGGTCCCCAGAACTTTACCTGGGTCTGTGGATTAACAGTCCAGTGACAATACCACTAGGCCGTCACCTCACCTTATTGGCCGTGCTATTTCCCCGCCTTTCCTCATGTGTGGGACAGACGGTGATTCAATGAGGGACTCTCACGCCTCTCAGTCAGAAGGCTGTGGGTTTCTACCTTACTTCAGCTATTTGGATATGAAAATCAAGAAGCTGATAGCTCTCCCAGGGCAGTTTTGAGGGAGTGCTGGAACACCTTTGAATATGGTACACACTCAGGTGAATGTAAAAGATTCTCTGGCTGGATGTTGAAGAGGAGCCCCGCGGTTATATCCAGTGCTATGTCTGATGGTTATCACACAACAGTCTCTACCAGATTACTGTCCCTATGTATGGAATTACCTGCACAATTTCTCACACTATAACACTGGTTATATTTCAAAACCAAGCCATTGGCAGTAACGGACTTTGGGATATCTGGTGAGGATGAGAGGGTGCTACATCAATGTGTACTTTTTATTCACTTGTGGGATATGGGCATTGCTGACTGGCCAGCATTTATTACCCCCTGTCCAGTTGCCCTTGAAAAGGTGGTGGTGAGCTACCTAGGTAGATCCATAATATTCCAGGATTTTGACCCGGTGAGTCAATCTTCTTCAACTGTATGATGCTTGTGAAGGGTGTGGACCTGAGGTGACGTGAAGGAATTTTTGTTTCATTCCTTGGCTGGGCATCGCTGTGTAGTCTAGCATTTACTCCTCATCCTTAACTGCCCAGAGGACAGTTAAGAGTCAAACACATTGCTTGTCTACATCAGAACATAAGAAACAGAAGCAGGAGAAGGCTGTCTGGACCATGAGGACTGCTCCACCATTCAATAAGGTCATGGCTGATCTTTTCGTGGACTCAGCTCCACTTAACCGCCCGCTCACCATAACCCTTAATTCCTTTACTGTTCAACAATCTATCTACCTTTGCCTTAAAAACATTCAACGAGGTAGCCTCAATTACTTCACTGGGCAGGGAATTCCACAGATTCACAACCCTTTGGGTGAAGAAGTTCCTCCGCAACTCAGTCCTAAATCTGCTCCCCCCACTATTTTGAGGCCATGTCCTGTAGTTCTAGTCTAGAGTCACATGTAGGCCAGACCAAGTAAGGACAACTGATTTCCTCACATACAGGACATTAGTGAACAAGAAGTGTTGTCAATTGTCAATGATTTTTACGGTCACCATTCAGGTGCTTTTGAACTTCAGATCTGCTGTGGTGGAATATGAACCCATGGCCCAAAACATTACAATAGAACAGAGCAAACAGAAGGAGGAATAAGCCATTCTGCCCTTCAAACCCTGCTCAGCCACTCAATATGATCATGACTTGTCATCCAACTCAGTATCTTCTTCCTGTTTTCTCCCCACACCCTTCGATTTCTTTAGCTTGTAGAACGACATATCATTCCTTTTTGAAAACAAATTTTGGCCTCAACTGCTTTCTGTGGCAGGGAATTCCGCAGGCTCAAAGCTCTCTGGGTGAATAAATTTCTCCTCATCTCAGTGCCAAATGGTCCTCCCCATATCCTTAGACTAGCCTCTAGTTCTGGACTCTCCAGTCATCAGGAACATCCTCCTGCGTTTACTCTGTCTGTTGGCACGGTGGCTCAGTGGTTAGCACTGCTGCCTCACAGCGCCAGGGACCTGGGTTTGATTCTATCCTCGGGTGACTGTCTGTGTGGAGTTTGCACGTTCTCCCCGTGTCTGTGTGGGTTTCCTCCGGGTGCTCCGGTTTCTTCCCACAGTCCAAAGATGTGCAGGCTAGGTGGATTGGCCATGCTAAATTACCCATAGAGTCCCAGGAGGTGCAGGCTAGGTGGATTAGCTATGTTAATGGATCCCTAATCAGCCATTATTCCATTCACAATGTCAATCATGGTCAATGATTACATAGATCACAATCTGAGTGTTAGCATGATACAAGCAAGCCATCATCACCATGACTGTGGTAGCAGTCACAGGAAGAATAGCAATATCTGATCACAGCCATCTACTGGAGGAAATTCAGGTTGCACAAAAGCTTCGTGTTGGGTATAATCATACTCAGTGACATTTTGTTAGGCATTCTCTAAATAAATACGGACAATGATTCTCAGATTTCACCATAGACATGGTTTTGTACTTGTCTGCTGATGGTCACCAGGCGCCTTCCAAATGCAATGAATTATTACAGTGTGATGTAATCATCATGAAATAACTTCCACTTTGGACTTTAGCTGCTAAAATCAGACAAGAGGCAGTTATAAATCATGGATTAAGATTGTTATTGAGGAGGCTTACTTTTGACTTCTCTGCCACAACCTGCTTAATTTGTTTTGTGTCTGGTAATAAGTGCATCCCTCTGCTGTGCCACTCATCTCCAGTCTGCATGAGATACCCTAGCTCTGTAACTGGGGAGGGTGGTGTGTGTGTGTGTTCGTGCGTATCTCTGTGTATCCATGCATGTATCTACATATGTGTATATAACATGCTTGTGCATGTGTGTGCGTGTTCATGTGCTTGCATGTGCATGTTTACGTGTTACGCATGTTACGCAGAAATGAACAAAGTCAGCCATAACTCCGAAGATGTTCCATTTTCTCTCCAGCCTGTTACAACCCAAAGGAACAGACTCAGACAGGGAGCATCCACTGATGTGACACATCAGCCAGGATGAAGATGGAACTTGGGGTGGCAGCACCTGTCTCCAATCAGTGATTTTTTTTTGAAAATTTGGTTCACAGAGATGTGGGCATTTAGTGCAGATTCCCATCCCTAAAGGGAACCAGATGGGTTTTACAACTGTTGCTGATCGCTGGGACCGTAACTGTGACATGATTTATACTCCATATTTACTCAGTGAGTTTAAACTCCCACGATGGGAATTGAGGCCATATGTCCAGAGAATTATCCTGGCCCTCCAGATTACTGCTCCAGTGACATTCTCTCTGAACCACTGTTTTTCCCCTCATAGGATCCCATTCAGCCCATTGAGTCCACACTGATTCTCCAAAGAGCATCCCACTCAGACCCACCCTACCCCTGTAACCCTGTA